ACAGATATTTTTTCTTATGGTCACCCATCAGATGAAAGTGTTAACTCTCCAGCACCTCAAAGGAGCCAATACCAGGGAGAGGCCAGGGGATCAGGTGTAAGAATGACCTATGGATGCAGCCCTCCTCAGATGGGAGATCAACGAACTGGAAGAAAGCATACAGGTGGCGCAAACACCTAACGCATTATCCAAGGTTTATTAAAATATATATATATATATATATAAAATGACAAAAAACATACTCGCAAACATAGCGTATATATAAAGCTTGTAAGGCCACAGAAATGGCCGAGTGTCCAACTGGTGGTACGGTCGGCCTGCCTGCTGACCAGTTTCGGGGACATATCCCTTTCTTCCGAGCTATAACCAACCTAGGTTGGTGTCCTACTTTATATGTGTGTAACCAGTACCACCTATAACAAAACCCCTCCCCTCAAACCCAAAGGAGGAGGGGATCATAGAATTTGCAAACAATGCAAACAATTATTACATGGATAGTGCAGATATAAATCTAAATGTAAATAGATGAGTACATAGAATTCAATAACTCAATACTAAGAACAATGTTGTAGCGATACAATAAAAACATGTATACCTGGCAAACAATAAAATCATACCTAATAGAGGTTGTAATATATGTTAAATTAAAACCAAAACAATACCTCAAAGAGCTGGACCTACACCATGTGCAAAACTACTATGGTGTGTGTGAAACAGAGTAGATTTGTATGTGCATCAACTTCTGGTCAGTCACTTCCGGCCTCTGGAGCGCACAACCATCTCGGCGTGCACTCCAGCGGCCATTTTTGTAATTTTTCTCAGTTTATTCATGCACATTTACATTTATATCTGCACTATCCATGTAATAATTGTTTGCATACATTGTTTTAACTAATTTCTATGATCCCCTCCTCCTTTGGGTCTGAGGGGAGGGGTTTTGTTATAGGCAGTACTGGTATAAAAAAAAAGTAGGGCACCAACCTAGGTTGGTTATAGCTCTGTGGAAAGGGATACGTCCCTGAAACGCATCAGTAGGCAGGCTGACCGTACCACCAGTCGGACACATTGCCATCATTGCGGCCATCTCTGTGGCCTTACAGGCTTTATATATACGCGTTTATGAGTTATTTTTTGTCCTTTTATGTATATATTTTTAATAAACTTTAGATAATGTGCTAGGTGTTTGCGCCACCTGTATGCTTTCTTCTTTCATCCATCAGATGGCCACAAGACCTGAGGCGTGGCATTGACTGAGGCTTTCACTTGTACACATCCATACTAGGATTGGCAAACGTGGCAGCAATTTTAAACTAAAATGCCCATCAGATGACTGAGTACAATTACTATGATTTCTGGAGAACGAAAAGGAGCAGGTGTTGAACTGTGCACATGAAGAACACTTAAAGGCTGCAATAGCCAATTAGACTTGAAGAACCACACAAAGCCAGAGAACTTGGAAAACCCTGCTGTTAACAGAGAATGGGAGCGGGCGTCCTTACTTGATTTCAGAACAATGAAGTGGAAAAGACGGATGGCGCATCAACCTCCCCAGTAACTGTAGCAGTTTTGGCCTCAGCTGCCACTCCAGCCACGCCCTTTGGTGCATTTCACCCCACCTATCGGGGGCTTGGTCACACTTCTGTGGTGACAAACTTCAGTACCCCATATCTTCGAAAGCCTCCTATAGGTCATCAGTTTAGTGTTACGGAGGAGGTCTGGTGCTAGAATTATTGCTTTCACTACCGGGTAAGCGGTGATATGTAACATGTATCGCAAGCAACATTTTCATGCGTAGGCGCCCCCCACACATGCATTTACATACATATGTGCGTATATGTGGGGGGGTCCCAAACATTTTTGGGGGGGAATTGTATGTGCTTGGGTGTAACTTTTTTTTTTTTTTTGCTTAACTTTTTTTTTTTTTTATCACTCAATGTATTGCAGTGCAGATCATATTGCAATACATTGCTTTTTGGCTGTGCTAGCCGTGAAAGTGACAGGGGTGACCCAGAAGTGATGTCATACACGTCACTTTCTGGGTCACAGGAGCACGTGGGTCTGCTCTCCTCCTTCCCCTCCACCCGCCGGTACCCACAATGTCAGTCCTGTGCCTGCAGATGGGCAAGCGGAGCCCGGAATACTTGGGGTGAGGCATGCGGGGGAGGGGGTTGTTTAGGGTTGCCACTTCATGCCTTTAAACCCAAACACATATTAATTACACAGGTTCTGTGGATAATTAAGGTGGTAATTAAATTCACCTTAGTGCCTTATCTACATTAAATTAGCCTCTGAAACCGAATACATATTAATTACACAGTTTCTAAAGGGAGGAGGTGGCAGCCTAGGGGTGGGAGCCAGTACTGGAGTGTGGAATAAACTGGGCAGCAGCACAGCCGCCTGACTGCTTCCATCTGACAGGCAGGAGTTTGCCTGTCAGGTTTAGACACAATCCCAGTGCCTGCAGCCACTGGATTGTGTGTAAAATCCCTCACTGTCAGGTCCATAGGATGTACAAACGACAGGAAAACGTACGGATCTGGCAGCAAAAGGGTTAAAGTGGTTGTTCACCTGAACGATGAACAACAATCTGATCTGTATGATGAGTAAAGGTCAGCAGAAAGCATTTGAGTTTAATCTGACACCTGTCTGCACTCCCTGTCAATACCAATCTTCCCTGGTGTTCTGAGCAGAGTAAAGCCACCATGAAAAAAAAAAAAGGTAGCAGCACTCCCCTTCTGCATTGATGGGCAGTCTATGTGAGGAGATCTGCTCCAGCCTTCCTGTTCAGCTGTGAGAAAGAAGTGTGTCCCTGCTGCTCTGAGTGTCTGTGTAATCTGACCAGGAGAGAGAGAATGTGTGCTTCAGGTTAAAGGATGTGATGGGGCTTCTGCTTTATGAAGTCCTTGTGGAGAGAAAGAGGGTGAGACAGAACAAAATAAAAAGACAGAGTGAAAGAGAGAGAGAAAGAGACAGAGAGATAGAGAAAGATACAGAAAGAGACACACAGAGAGACAGAGGGAAAGACAGATAGAGATAAGAGACAGAAAATGACAGAGAGAGATAGATAGAAAGAGACAGAGACAGGAGACATAGAGAAAGAGACAGAAAGAGACAGGAGACATAGAGAAAGAGACAGAGAGAGACAGAGAAACCAAAAGAGACAGAGAAAGAGACACCGAAAGAGACAGAGAAAGAGACAAGAGAGAGACAGAAAGAGCCAAAGGGACAGAGAGACAAAAAGAGACAGAAAGAGAATCAATGAGGCAGAACGAGATAGACAGAAAGTGACCAAGAGAGACAGACAGAAAAAGAGAGAGAAACAGAGAGAACAAGATACACAGAGTGATCCAAAGAGACAGAAAGAGACGGGGAGAGAGACAGAATGAGACCGAGAGACACTCTGTGTATAGTTGACAGGGGCATAGTGTGATGTCAGGTCTCTTATTTAGGGTATAACAGTATTATCTTCTAAATTGTGCAAAATAGTGTTGTTTTGGGGATTTGAGTTTACAACCACTTTAAATCTGCTCTCACCCCCATTCTAAACCTATTCAACTACCCTGTAAAGGAAAGATGTCTATATCTTGCATTCTTAAAGTGCTAAATAGACTGCAGTGATGCAAAGCAGATGGCTAAAGATGCTTAAATTTGTGCTAGACACATATTACCAGCCCAAGGACCCTAAAATCCAGGGCACACTTGCTGTGCAAATGGTTTTTACCTGTAGCTTTTGATCAGTCACTGTTTTCAAAAGCTTGGGCCTGTCTTCTTCCTCCTCCTTACTGACCTAAGAGTCCACTTATCATAATTATAGACCAATAGTGGGGAACTGGAGGGTAGGGAGCCAAGATCTCTACCACAGGATCTGATGGACGTTTGCTCAATAAGAGCATCATGGGTTTCAGGGGTCCTGATGTGTTATATAATGTATCACAACGCAAAACAAAGTGTTGTAGCACACGAGGAACCCATGGCATCTCCTCTCTGCCACCCACACAGGTCTTCTCCCTTGTCTGACTGCTAAACAACCACAATGCAAAAATAGTCCAATGCAATGAGGTCTCCAAAATCAAAAAGCTGTCTATTAATGTTTTATGCAGTCACCACTGAACGCTTTGACATGTTTCTCTTATATTTGCTTATTCGTAATGCAACTGTGCTCACAGACTTTTTTTTTATCATGCTCAGTTTACATTGCTTAGGTTTGAGACATGTTTACTTTAAAGACATGTTTACTTTAAAGCTGTTTGTAGATGCTGAAGAGTTAAATTTCCTTACAGGCATACTGCACACTACTGCGCATATGTGGCCTTTCCTATGCATACCCTCAAAGAAAAGCCATCTGCTTGCAAACCTGCAAGATAATAGCTTGATCCATAGAACCTATGGTGTAAGCACAATAAACCATGGCCTGATAGTTTTGCAGGGCTGGCCACCCCACTCTGGCTGTGACTCTTGGAGCAGGTTGCCTGTTGTTCTAAGGTCTTCACTGGGGGATATTAATGAAAAGTGGGGATTTAAAGACAACATATTTATAAGCATAGTCATCCTTTAATATTATTAAGAAATACTTTAATCTGTAGCCAGCAATCACTTTTTAAATCTGCCAAAAACATCCTTGCAGCCATGACAACTGGGAGATGTTGTGCATTGTGTAAGTATCACTCCTAAAAGTCTAGTTTTCTGCCTATCTGAGTAGCTTACTACTTTTCTGAAAAGTCAACAATTGAAATTACATGCACGCTCTGCAAACAAATAATATATTTTCTAAGACTCGTGAATGCTGGGCCTTCATTTTTTTTTTTTTTACAACAGCACCGAGAGTGATCAAGTAGGTATAATGAAGGAATAGCCTACCACTTAACAGTCAGTGCAATAAAAATGATGGCACAATTTTTATAAATACTTTTTCTAGAAAAGAAAAGGATAAGAATGTGTAGGAAAATTATGAGATTGACCTAAATACTGCATCTTATACACTAGTACTGTCCACAACGTACCTGTCAAAGATTTCCCAGAGCCAATTGGTGCAGAAATGGACTTGAACAATTTCTACAAGAAAAGAAAACACATAGTACATAAGTTATCTCTAGAATGAGATTAAAAAAAAAAAAACTATTAAATACCATTAACAAAGAAAATCTTACCTCCATTGGGCTTATAAAATCATTTGTCCCACTATTGTACACATAGATCATTGCGTCATACAGCCTGTGTTCCCAGCACATTTGAACAATCTAGAAAATAAAGATCATAAGAAGATGACTTCCATGAAGAAAATTATTAAAAATAATAAAGTGGTTTTTCCTTTTCAGGAACAGGTAGAAGGTTTGCTCCTCACTATATCACATCTAAAGACATTTACGTAACCCAAATTAAAGTGGTTCTAAAGTCATGAGGTTTTTTGCATTTTCTGTATTAAAGTAAAAAACCTTCCATGATCAGCTACCCCTGGCATCCCCCCTTCCCTTAAATACTTATGTGGCTTCTCTTTTGATCCAGCACCATGCCCATCTGCAGCAGTGCTGCTCTTTCTTTCTGTATTCACAGGACACAGAGGCAGCAGAGGGAGCCATTGGCTGCTGCTGTTGTCATCCTATGAGGAGGAACTAGGGAGGTTGCCAAGCCACACTGTGTGTGTCTATAGACACACTCAGCCTGGCACAGGAGCTCACCTGCACAGATGCCCCCATAACAGGATAATAGGCAGCTTGCTATGGGGGCACTCAGAAACGGAGGAGTGGATAGCGCCGGCAGGGGATTCCAAAAGAGAAGGATCAGGGCCCCTCTGTGCAATACCCTTGCACAGAGCAGATAAGTATAACATGTTTATTATTTTAATTAAAAAATATGCCTTCGCAAACAAATGAAATTGGTTACAACAAAGAAGAAAAAAAAAAACTATAAATAAACATATTTGGTATGACAAATAAAATAATAAGGCTGATAAAAAAAGCAGACAAATAAACAGCATCCTAACAATTGTAGGCACTAAAAGAAAGCCAGTATATGCCAATATACTGTATCATGACAGTGAATAGCAAACACAGATGCCTGCAGGTATCCTTCTATTACTTTATACAAATGCATACTTCAACAAGGAAGCTGGTATTTTGACCTGTCCTCTCCAATGCTTAGCTATTAGTCAGTGTGCCCACTATATTAGGCAGCATGAAGAGAAGAATAGGAGTGGCTAACTTTCTCATACGATGTAGTGTTTGCAGAATTAAAGTGCTCTGGGTTTTTGGGCCTCAGAGAAGATGCCTGCTAAAAAAAAAAAGTGTTAGCTTTTGACATCTCACTATAGGTACATAGTAAAGTTGCTGTTTTTTACTGTTAATAAGAAAGCCTTCTACTTAATGATGGGCTGCATGTTCGACTCGAACATGCGTCGTTTGTGTGTTCATTGAACACACAAACTGCACGGGCATTCGGCAGGCTATTCGCCCGCCACGCCCCACAATGTACTGTGCCGTGACAGTCCATTGTGATTGGCCAAAGCATTGCACCTGACGTTTCAAGGGGACAGGGGTGATCCTGCCCTCTTGTGACAACCTCACCTTTTTAAGAACTGTCATTGCAGCGCAGCAGTCAGACGGCGGAAGCCAGCATCGAGGGTGGAGCAGATTTTTTTTCTTTTTTCGAGTCGTCAGTGGCGGTGGGCATCGTGATTGATGTTGGATCTACTTCAGAGGACATTTTTTGTAATTTTTATTAAAGGACTTGTCAAAGACTGCCTCCTGTCTTTTTTACGCTACACTTTTTTTTTTTTTTTTTTTGTCAATGGGTACGGTACCATATACTGCATACTCATTCACAATGGGGGGGCCGGGATCTTGTTAAAGGGGGCTTCCAGATTCCGATAAGCCCCCTGCCCACAGAGCCCAACAACCACTGACCAGGGTTTTAAGGAAGAGCCACCCCCCCCACCCCAAAGCACCCCTCATGTTGAGGGCATGTGGCCTGGTATGGTTCAGGAGGGTGGGGGGGGCGCTCACTCGTTCCCACCCTTTCCTGACCTGCCGAGCTGCATGCTCGGATAAGGGTCTGGCATGGATTTTGGGGGGACCCCCACGCCATTTTTAAAAATTTTTGGCATGGGGGGTTCCCCTCAAAATCCATGCCAGGCCTGAAGGGCTTGGTATGGATGGGAGGGGGGACCCCATGCTGTTTTTTAAAAACATTTTTAATTGTCAGGCAATACTGGCAATTCTTTTGACATTCAGCTGTCAGCAGGGAACCCCACTGACAGCTGAAACATGAATGAATGTTTCACTGCTAAAATACCACTTGACTTAATAAAATAACTCTTGTGGTATTTTAGTAACTGAGCGGTATCTTACTGCATGCTCAGATGCAGTAAAATACAGCTCAATAAATTGTCCCTGTTCGAAGTTCGCATTCGAACTTTCAGTAGGTTTGAATGTTTGACCACAAACCGAACAGGAGGGTGTTCAGTCCATCACTACTCCTAATGTATCTTTTTATTGACTAGTAGTGGTATCCATTCTTGGGACCCTGACAATCAATATTTTTCTCTGCCTCCAAGCACAGCAGCAGTTTTTTTGGCGTGAAGCAGCTTGATTACTGAAATCACTTGCTTTCAGTGGGTTTCCAATCTACAACTGAATCATGTAAAGTTAGTTGGTCCCCTAATTAACATGACCTTTGATACTCATCTTGATTAAAACCCCTTGATATGCATTTTAAGCTAGCTGGAAATGCCCAAAGACAATCGACTCCCGATTATAGCTAGAGGTGGACTATTATACAGGGTTGGACAAAAATTATGGAAACACTAGGTAAAAGAACAAAATGGTTACCTAATATGGTTAAAAAAAAACATAAACAGAGAGCGCACTGGCCTGGTCCTCAAAACGCGTTAACTGTTGGAAGTCCAGTAGTGTGGATTGGACAGAGTTGTTCTTTCATGAGTGCCTTTGACAAAATTGTCGTTTGTGAGTACAATACCCATTTTTATTGCTTTAATAAATGTTTTTTAGCTAATGCACTAGGCCAGTGCGCCCTCTGTTTGTTTTCTTACTATCCTGTACATTTGGACTTCCCCAGTCCTCTGAGGGCAGCAAGGAGTGCACATTCCTGGACATCCGAGATGTGGCCATAACCTTTATAGAGTCCATTCCCAAGTGCAGGAGTATTTGGGTCTGCTGTTTTTACCTAATATGGTGTTGTACCGCCTCTGGCATCCAAGATAGCCTGAATACTCCTGGGAATTGACAAATATGTCTTGGATGGTGGATAATGAATCCGATACCACTGTTCATGCAAAAATCATTCCAGTTCTCGCAGAGATGCCGAAAGCAGAAAATGAGCCTGAACCCCATTCTCCAAAATTGACCATATGATATATGAGGTCCGGCGACTGAGGTGCCCAGGGAAGGTGTGAGACTTCGTCTGTATGTTTGTCAAACCGTGATTTAACAACACCAGCCGTGGGAATCGGAGCATTATTGTTTTGATAAATGGCCCTTGTCTTTGGTAAACAATGTCTGCACCATGGGGTGCACATGGTCAGCCAAAACGTGTACATAGTCGCTGGCAGTGACTCTACCTTTCAAGGTGATGATGGGACTTGCAGAATATTAACCATTTGCTGCCCGCAGATAGCCGAATGATGGCTTCACTGCGGCTGGCCAGTTCTGAGAGGACATCATATGACATCCTTCCAGAACGCACCCTCCCGCGCGCCCCCCGGTGATCTCCATGATCGTTGCGTCCTATGGACACAGCTGATTACGTGATGTGGTAAAAGGCCAATCACAGCGGCCTTTTACCACGTGATCAGCCATGTCCAATGACACAGCAGATCACCAGTAAATGCAGTTGCCAGTTATCGGCTGCACTTTCCTCATGCTGTCATAGCATGAGGAAAGTACTGCTGATAACCGGCAATTGTCAGGAGGACAGATCAGCACTGATCATCAGGGCACTGATGATCAGTGCCCTGATCATCAGTGCCCAGCAGTGCCATCCACCAGTGCCACCAATCTGTGCCCAGCAGTGCCATCCACAAGTGCCCAGCAGTGCTACCCACCTGTGCCCAGCAGTGCCGCCCAGTGTCCAGCAGTGCCACCAGTCAGTGCCCAGCAGTGCCATCAGTCAGTGCCCCCTATCAGTGCTCATCATTGTTGCATATCAGTGTCAGCTCATCAGTGCCGCCTATCAGTGCCCATCATTGTTGCATATCAGTGCCAGCTCATCAGTGCTGCCTATCAGTACCACCTCTTCAGTGCCGCCCATCAGTTGCCATCAGTGCCGCCTATCAGTGCCCATCAATACTGCCTATCAGTGCAGCCTCATCAACGCACATCAGTGAAGGAGAAAAAAATTACCTGTTTGCAAAATTTCATAATAGAAACAAAAAAAAACCTTTTTTTTTTCAACATTTTTGCTCTTTTTTTGTTTATAGCGCAAAAAATAAAAAACACTTAGCGGCAAGTACATACCACCAAAAGAAAGCTCTATTTATGTAAAAAAATTATAAAAATTTCATATGGGTGCAGTGTTGTATGACTGCGCAATTGTCATTCAAAGTGCGACAGCACTGAAAGCAGAAAATTGGCCTGGGCACGAATATAAGCGCCCGGTAGGCAAGTGGTTAAAGATATGCCTGTCCAAACCAAGGTTTTGTCGTCACCATGCTTTACTGTTGGCACTTTACTGTTGACAGTCCTGGCTGTAAGCTGGAATGGTGTTCGCCACACGTAAATACATCTAGTGGTTGAGAACAGTGTGAAGCTTGATTCATTGGACCAGACCATACAACAATCTTCCATTGATCGATAGTCCACGATTTTTAGGTGTTGCACCACTCTATCCACTTCTGAGCATTAATATCAGTCACTAGTGGTTTGACAATTGCAACTTGCCGTAAATATTTTGCTTATGGAGTTCCCTCTGCACAATTTTTGTAGACAGGGGCTTTGGAAGACTGAGATTGAGCTCCGCAGTCACTTTTGCAGCAGTTGCTTTCTTATTCCGGTTCACAATGCTGCACAATGTACTCTTGTCTCTTTCGGTCAGTTGACCATGTCGACAGCGCTTATGCTCCTCAAACAACGTTTTCCTGGAAACTGTATATGCCATCATAAATTTTGATACTGTACCTCGTGACACGGCAAATACATCAGCAACTTCACTCACAGAGGCTCCAGCTAAGCAGGCACCAACAATCTGCCCTCTTTGAAGCTCAGTAAGCTCTGACATGACTCCGTATTACCAGCAGTGCACGAAGTGAATTAAAAAAGTGAGGCTTCCCACCTGTTAGCTAGGTGTCTCATTACACAGCAGAAGCAAAAGAATGTTACAGCACTTCAGCTTTCAATGTGAAACATGTCACTTTCACACCTGCAAATCATGTAGTGTTTCCATATTTTTGTCCATCCACTGTATCTAGCTAGGAAGCTGATAGCTATGAAATTGCTTTTTCAGCCACTCCTCCTACAGTTGCCCAATGGATCAGGGAGGTTAACATCACCACTTTGATTGGAGAAACTGAGCTCCAAAAAAGGGGTTGTCAGAATAAGTTAAAAAAATTATGGCAGCCTTAGACAGGAATTACCAGTGTATAATTTCAGCAGATCACATAAGCAACAACTTGGAGTATTCATATTGACTTTAACTTCCACCTTTGAATGTATACACTCCTGAGGGTTGCCTATTATGGTACACCATGATTTATCGTTTGGTCCAGCTCTGGATGTATTTAATATTTTGCAGGTGCAGCCATAATCCATTTTGCCTGATTACTAGGTCTGGGTGTATCACATTATAAACAGTGGCGTGTGCCTATTTGATACTTGAGGTAGGGGATGTCTTTTGTTTTACTTAAAAGTATAACTAAAAGCAGAGTGCAGAGGGATAACAATGCTTGTCAGTTTTTATTGCTATCTGTGTTCTAGTTAAGGAGATTCACCCTATTTGTCCTGTTTACCATTATCACTGAAAATCCCAAATTTGGGGTTGTCCCCAAAAAAGTAATAGAGGGTAAATCATCCAATGGGGACACTAGTTATGGTGACCTGGTGGTCCCCAAAGAATTCCCTTAATTTGAAAGGATTTTCTCTCACTTCCTATTTGGCTATGGAACAGGAAGTAAAGGGAAGTCATTGTAATGGGACACAGATGGCGAAAAAAACAGTGGTTATAACCCTCCCTTACTCACTCCAAAATTAAAAATAAGTTTTTCCTGTAGTTCTCCTTTAAGTTTTCTGTTTGTTTAATTTCTATCTTCTTGTTGTTAGCACAGACCTTAACACCCAGACACTGGAATACCCCGGTTGCTCCTACTATTAAAGAATGGGTAGCTGAACTGAAACACTTAATGAGAATGGAAGAACTCACTGTGAGTTTCCAGGAACAATATTCTAAATTCATAGCAATGTGGTCTATATCAGTGTTCCACCTGATGGAAAGCTCTTTGTGCTTTTTTTTTTTTTAAAGTACAAGGTTTTATTAAACAACTTTAAAAGAATACAGTTGAACACCATGAGACAATAGAAACACATCCAAGTACAATATTTCCTGGATAAAACACACGTGTGAAAGCATTACAGTAAGGTCGTTAGAACCCGAAGACAAGGTTAGTAACACTAATGCTGGACCTGTACTAAGTGCTTTAATTATCAAAGATATATGTAATGTGCAAACCAGTGTTTCCTGAAACCAAAGAACAACCCGGGAAGGAGAGAAGAAGTGGGGTTTTTCATAAAGTGTTAACTTTTTTTGTCAGGGTATAGATCTAGGTTTGTCTCAAGCATGTTTTTTGAATCCACTTACTTTTGACTGACTCACTCCCTCTGCTGGAAGTTGGTTTCGAGTTTCAACTACCCTTTTGGTAAAATAATACTTCCTATGATTAGTTTTGGACTTTCCTCCTGCTAGTTTGAGGTCAGAGCCTTGTGTTCTTGAATTGGCTTCACATTGAAAATACTGCCCCTCTGAACCTTATTCAGCCCTTTGATATATTTATAGGTTTTAATCATGTATCCCCTTTCCGTTCTTTTCTCCATACTGTACATATTAGGTTTCTGAAGTCTTGTTTTATCCCTCAGACCTTTCACCATATTTTGTTGCCTGTCTCTGGATTTGTCCTATCTTATCAATATCTTATTGTAAGTAAAGTCTCCAGAACTCAACACAGTACTAACTACAGGTATTCCAATGGTTTTTGGGATGTGTACTAATTATGATTACTCCAGGGCCACATTTTCCCAACTCCAAGAGTCCCACAAGATAACAAATACCGAATTCCTTCACTATGCCAAATTATGTTACATTTTCCACTCTTTGATCAGAGGTTGTACACCTCAATTTTCTCTCACTCTATTAAAAATAGGTGTAGTTTTGGTCCCTGCGTGTTAAGCCTGATATTTTCAATACAAGTGAGTTTAAATGAAACCTATACCCATGATGAGGCTCTGTATCAACTCAAGTGTTTGGTGCAGTTTACTGTACACAATAGCTAAAAGCTCCATAAACATTTTCGCCCTGCAGAATTCATACAAACTGTTTCTATGCTAGTACTACACCCCAGCTCATTTGTCAAAGATTATACTGATGTATCCCCCCCCACACTGTTTCAGAGCTTGTACTCAACAAGTTGACATGATATATATATATGTGGCGGTCTTGGCTACTGTGGGTGTCCTTTTGTTGACTTCTTGGACTAAAACCTATTTCATGCAGGGGAAGGGGCACCGTAGTTTTTAGACTTCCAATTCTCTTTTTTCTTTTACCTCCACTTACTGGTTTTGTGTCAGTTCACAATGTAATTCTTTCCTTCTTTACTCTTAGGTCTCTATCTGGACATACCACACTCAAGTCTAAGTTTTACATACTATAGATGCTGTTGTGCACCTTCATCTATATTTGCCTTGATGATCTAGGATTTAACTCAGGAGAAAGGGGCAGCGTTAAAGTTATGAACTTCCTGGAATTTCTAGTTACTGGGCTAGGAATTTAAAATTTCTTGTCTTTTTGAATACTGACCTTTATGGACCCTTGACCTAGAGTATTTTGTTAATTGTTATCTTGACCTTTCATGGTTTTATTGTCTGCATTTCTCAGGCTATTTTCTCTTAAATCAATAAAACTTTTGTAAAAGAAGCTGGAATATTAAAACACATTAGTTAAAAATGTAACAATATTGTACCCCTTTTTATTGTTATATGCATGCTGGGCAGTATAAAAATAAGCAAGATGAAATTAAGTCAAATACAAGGTCGTAATCAGTAAAATAGGACAGGGTAAGAAATACCTGCTGTATATCAAGGCTGGTGATGTCCATATGCACTATACAAGCCTCCAAACTTTCCATCAAGCCCCGATCCTGAAAATGGAGCAGCAGATCCTTCATGACATGGGTAGTAAGACCAGGTAGTTGGTCCCGGAGAAGATAAGGCTCTAAACACTCCAAGAATACTCCTTTAGCTACACAGTTCTCACAGAGCTTGTCATACATCTGACTAAAGAGGATATCCCTGCACAGATAAGGCAAATAGTTAGCATAACCTAACAGAAGAACCTACCAATGATAAATAATATGTTAATGCTTTAGTACTGCGGACTACACTAGGTAAAATATTTCTTCTTTAGGAGTATTATTAGTCTTTTTAGTATATTAATATTATCACAGTTTTTTTATGCATCCACTGAAATTTGAGCTCTCTCAAAATAACATTCCACCCACATCCTGTTATGTACCCAATTGTGTAGCGTGATAAATATTTATTCATTTTAGATTAATACTTATTCACTTGATTTACTGGGTAAATTTTATTATCAATCAGTATATTCTATTAAATAGGTTTTCTGCATTTAGATAACTTTAGTTTATGCAAAATTATTTCGGCTCTTGTCATATGCACATTTTCTATTCTCATAATTAAGCTGCTCTAGATGTAATATTAAACACTGCAGAAAGCAAGCATATGAATAACATTAAAACACACCTATAAATTTGGAAGGTTATTGAAAGACAAGGCAATTTAGAAAACACATAAAAAACAGTAATAGGCAATCTAAAGGTGAAAAACCTCTCTACATCTTTCAGGTGCTAAAATATTTGTTGATAAGTAGTTGAGGTACTTTATAATAGAACTTTATTTTTTCAAGATTTATGGCGATTACATTTTTATGAAGCTAGACTTGACTAGATGTCAGAAGGCGTAAGCCATCCTGCTTAGAATAAAATCACGACACACCTAAAACAGGTTCTTTGAGTCATTTGATACACATGTCTTGTAAAAGCCGACCCCTGAAACTGTTGATCAGAAACAGCTTCTTCTGCAAGGTGATGAATTCATCGGACTTCTGACAACAGAGCTGTCATTCCTACTCATTGCTCTGGAGACAACCTTTCCCATTTTTATGGTAAAAATTGCTCAGATGGCTAAGCAGATAACGGTGACATTCCCCTTCAAGTCACTATCTTTATTCCATTAGCATTGACATTTCAATGCATCTAAGACAACCTACTCCCCTGGGTTCACACAAAGGACACACAACCTACTGCTTTCCTATGGACAAGTTTTAACTCTTGATGCATACATTGTGGGTGAAAGAAGGGAGCTAACAGTCCTAATAATAACGTGATCATTTCTATTACTGCACTGTACTGACTGTCAGTCTCTTCAAAACCTTCAAATTGAACAGAAGACAAAGACTAAATATCATAAGCTCTCTCATGATGCAGCTTACAAATGTGGCTATTGTTTAGTGCCACTAAAAATCTGCTCTTCACTCCATGCATTTCAATCCATCTTTAAATATGCCCTGCACTCCACTTCTGTGCAAGAGCTTTCTGTTCAAACAACTGTCACTGATGCTTGGTCTCCATGTGCAAGGTGGGGTGTCTGCTCCCCTGTAGTTTAATGGATTAGCAGTGTCCAGCCTTTCTCTGCCACTACATGCTCCTATAATGTGACTGACAGCAGATTCAAATTAATCTTCACAATCTGTGCTCTGCTTCACCTCTCAGGCACTGTTATTCTGTCAGGTGTAGGGGTAGATATTGTACAGAATAAAAAATGTTAAATGCCCTAAAAAAAACAACCAACAGCATATAAAAAGGATAAGTTTACCTTTAGAAGCATGTTATATGTTACATCCATATTTAGGGTGTAACATGTAACATGCTCCTATGCACCTAAACCAGCTTCAGGGTCTCCACTCCAGCATCTGTGTCCTTCGTTTGGTGTTTTCCACTGAGAATGCAGGTCAGGCTAGGTCCGCACTGACTCCATATAATCCACAAAACAAGAAGAGAAATCTCAGCCACTGAGATGCCCCCCCGACACATTTCTTCCTGCCCATCTCCATGACTAAGCCCTGTGGGTGGGGGGCAAAACATGTTGGGAGGCGTGAACTGGATGGAGATAAGCTGAGGCTGCTATCACGTTGGGTTTGCATGGTGTGCGGAGGCTAAGAATTCTCTCATGCTCCTAAGCACCCATCACCCACCACCTGAGCTCCCCTCTCTGTGACAGTGGGAAGGGGTTTTTCTCCACTCACATGGATGTGTCATTCGTTCACAGTTTCCTGTGCATGAATAGACTACAAGTACCGTCAGCCATTACGGCTGATAACTTGTGGTTTTCAATAAACTGCAAGGGCGCTGGTACCTGATCACGAGTACAATGCTTTACAGTAAAAATAAATAAATAAATGCACATCTTTTTTTTGCCCACAAAAAGATGGAAATTTATTTTTATTTTTTTTATACAAAAAGGTGAACCTAGCCTTTAAATATTGCAGGTATAATTAAAGAAAAATGTTGATCCCCACCCAAGCTGGGGCACAATCTTCACACAATCAATGAAAAGATGGTAATTGAGAGATATGTAGTTTCCCAACAGACACACATCACTAGGAAGTAGCAGGAAGAACCCACCTACTTTTCCCAGGCTGATTGTGAGGATGTCACAGCTACTTTTTCATATTTTTTTTTTCTCTTTTTACACAGATATTAGGGAGCTTATTGACTTTATTTTCTTTTGGACATATTAAGGAATGCACCTAAATGAAAATAATTGAACTTGATGTTAAGCAACTATTGTACAGAGAAAATGTATGTAAAGCTTGCATACACCAAGATACTGTACAAAAGTAGATATTCTCTTCAATCAACAGTAGAAAACAGTGTCATTAGGAAAAAAAAAATCCTATCTTCATATAATAAAAAAAATAATCATTGCGCACTTAGTGAAAAAAAAAAAAAAAAAACAACTTACGTGCGTTGCAGAAGCAGGCAATAATCAACTAAGACTGGTACTGTATCCTAACAAAAAAAAACATTAGCAATAAATAATCATCTTAAGAAAACATTTAGAAGAACTCTCTTTGGAAAAAAAAAAAAAAACAACCTGAAATTTCATTGGAAATACAAAAGAAGCTAGTGGAAGATTTAGCCCTCCAGTTTCAAACCATATCTCAGAAACTTTGAGAAAATTTATGAAAACTGAAAATATCTGAAATAAGGTGGTATTGCTGAGATAATACCTTAATAAACAAAGCTGACATACTGTCTCATTTATTTCATGAAATACTGTCAACAGTATTTAGCAATCCTCCTTCATAAGTGAACCTGACAGTGATAAAAGTGACCACACAAGCTCACTGAATGTGAAAGAGCCATCTGGTCACAAGAAATGAGGCCTTGACTTCAGTCTGACTTTAAGATACTCCTTTGCTTCAGACCTAGACACCCATGCCAGATATCACAGACAGGTCATGCTGGATGTACTGTAGTTGAGGACTACAACTGGACTGCATGTTGCCCCTGTCTGTAAACAAACAATGAAGTAGAGGCAGTATAGCACAAGCAAAGGTCATCATTCTGCTCTCTCCTTCTGTTAGACAGACAGCAGTGTGCAATACATTAGTACATAGCTGGCCTATAAGAATATATACACCACATACACACATATACATACATATACACATACATACATACATACACAGTATCTCAAAGAAGTGAGTACACCCCTCACAGTTTTGTAAATATTTTATTATATCTTCTCATGTGACAACACTGAAGAAATGAGACTTTGCTACAATGTCAAATAGTGAGTGTACAGCTTGTATTACAGTGTAAATTTACTGTCCCCTCAAAATAACTCAACACACAGCCATTAATGTCTAAACCACTGGCAACAAAAGTGAGTACACCCCTAAGTGAAAATGTCCAAATTGGGCCCAATTAGCCATTTTCCCTCCCCGGTGTCATGTGACTCGTTAGTGTTACAAGGTCTCAAGTGTGAGGGGGAGCAGGTGTGTTAAATTTGGTGTTATCACTCTCACTCTCTCATACTGGTCACCAAAAGTTCAACATGGCACCTCATAGCAAAGAACTCTCTGAGGATCTGAAAAAAAGAATTGTTCCTCTACATAAAGATGGCCTAGGCTTTAAGAAGATTGCCAAGACCCTGAAACTGAGCTGCAGCACGGTGGCCAAGGCCGTACAGCGGTTTAACAGGACAGGTTCTATTCAGAACAGGCCTCGCCATGGTCAACCAATGAAGTTGAGTGCACGTGCTCAGTGTCATATCCAGAGGTTGTCTTTGGGAAATAGATGTATGAGTGCTGCCAGCATTGCTGCAGAGGTTGAAGGGGTGGGGGAGTCAGCCTGTCAGTGCTCAGACCATACGCTGCACACTGCATCAAATTGGTCTGCATCGCTGACGTCCCAGAAGGAAGCCTCTTCTAAAGATCATGCACAAGAAAGCCCGCAAACAGTTTGCTGAAGACAAGCAGACTAAGGACATGGACTACTGGAACCATGTCCCGTGGTCTGATGAAACCAATATAAACTTATTTGGTTTAGAAGGTGTCAAGCGTGTGTGGCCGCAACCAGGTGAGGAGTACAAAGACAAGTGTGTCTTCCCTACAGTCAAGCATGGTGGTGGGAGTGTCATGGTCTGGGGCTGCATGAGTGCTGCTGGCACTGGGGAGCTACAGTTCATTGAGGGAACCATGAATGCCAACATGTACTGTGACATACTAAAGCAGAGCATGATCCCCTCCCTTTGAAGACTGGGCCATAGGGCAGTATTCCAACATGATAACGACCCCAAACACACCTCCAAGACTACCACTGCCTTGCTAAAGAAGCTGAAGGGTAAAGGTGTTGGACTAGCCAAGCATGACTCCAGAGCTAAACCCTATTGAGCATCTGTGCGAAAAGTGGTGGAGTGCAAGGTCTCTTATATCCACCAGCTCTGCGATGACATCATGGAGGAGTGGAAGAGGACTCCAGTGGCAACCTGTGAAGCTCTGGTGAACTCCATGCCCAAGAGGGTTAAGGCAGTGCTGTAAAATAATGGCGGCCATACAGAATATTGACACTTTGGGCCCAATTTGGACATTTTCACTTAGGGGTGTACTCACTTTTGTTGCCAACGGTTTAGACATTAATGGCTGTGTGTTGAGTTATTTAGAGGGGACTTTACATTGTAGAAAAGTGTAATTTCTGCAGTGTTCTCACATGAAAAGATATAATAAAATATTTACAAAAATGTGAGATACTGTGTGTATGTATATATATATATATATATATATTTATTATACACACACACACTATTGTGCAAAAGTTTTCAGCAAATGTGAGAAAAGGCTGTAAATTAACCACTTGCCTTCTGGAAACTTTTATCCTCTTCCTGCCCAGACTAATTTTCAGCTTTCTGCGCTCTCATACTTTGAATGACAATTGTGCGGTCAGGCAACACTGTACCCAAACTAAATTTTTATAATTTTTTTGAAGCAACTAGAGCTTACCTTTGGTGGTATTTAATCACCACTGAGGTTTTTATTTTTTTTGCTAAACAAAAAAAAAGACCAAAACTTTTGAAAAAATGTTTTAGTTTCTGTTATAAAGTTTTGTAAATAAGTAATTTTTTTCTCCTTCAGTGATGGGCACTGATAGGCTGCACTGATGGGCACTATTAGGCGACACTGATGGGCACTGTTAGGTGGCACTGATTCAATTGATGGGCACTGGTTCAACTGATGGGCACCGATGGGCACTGATTCAACTGATGGGCACTAATTCAACTGATGGGCACTGATTGCCAGCACATATGGGCACTGATGGGGCTACACTGATCACCAGGACACTGATGATCAGTGCCCTAATGATCAGTGTAGATGTCCCCCTGCGAAATGCAGCTTACCGGCTGTCCTGTCCTCACAAGCTGTCAGGGTGAGGAGAGGAGATAACCAGCATTTTCTATTTACCTTGTGATCAGCTAAGATTGGACACAGCTGGTCACATGGTAAAAGTGCCTGTGAGTGGCCCCTTCTTTAGTCATGTGATCAGCTGTGTCTGAAGGACACAGTGATCAGAGATCGCGGGCAGTGCGTGCCCGAGGGGGCACGCAGGGGGCGTGGTTCTGGGAGGACGTCCATGGACGCCCTCCCAGAACTAGCCGATCGCGCTGTAGCCATCTTTTGGCTATAGTGCGGTCGGCACTGGTTAAGAATGCTTTCAGAAATAGAAGTGTTAATCATTTATTTTTATCAATTAACAAAATGAAAAGTAAATGAACAGAAGAGAAATCCAAATAAAATCAATATTTGTTGTGACCACCCTTTGCCTTCCAAACAGCATCAATTCTTCTAAGTACACTTGCACAACATTTTTGAAGGAAGACGGCAGGTAGGTTGTTCCAAACATCTTGGAGAACTAACCACAGATCTGTGGTTGTAGGCTGCCTCAAATCCTTCTTGCTCTTCATGTAATCCCAGACAGAACTGATGATGTTGTTGAGATCAGGGCTCTGTGGGGCCAACCCATCTCTTTCAGGACTCCTTGTTCCTCTTTACGCTGAAGATAGTTCTTAATGAAATTGACTGTATGCTTGGGGTCGATGTCCTGCTGCAGAATAAATTTGGGGCCAATCATACATCTCCCTGATGGTATGGCATTATGGATAAATATCTGCATGAGGACACCATTTATCCTGACCAAATCTGCAACTGCATTTGCAGAAATTCTACCCCACACTTACAAGGAACCTTTTAAATTCTGACTCATCAGTCCAGAACACCTGAAACTGTCTTCCACAACCTCACCTTAGGCTGGCCATACATTATACAATTATCTTCCACTTTTCTGCCCAATTTCCTTTAGATTTACCTTCAACTGTGTAGTGCAAGGGCCTGCCTAATTGGATACAACTGAAAGTGTTTAGGTTTGTCCTCCTATTATATGGTTTTTGCTAAATCTAAACCAAAAATCTTCAGATAATTGTATAATGTATGGCCAGCCTTAGTATCAGAGTTTGACTGTTCCTCGCCCAGTTTTAAGCCTCCTACACAGCTGTTTTTGTTTCAAGTAATTACTTTGTTTCAACCTACATATGAAATTGATAACCATTAGCATCTGCTTGGTATAACTGGTTAATCATACACCTGACTCTAATCCTACAAAATCTGTGACTTTGTGCAAGTGTACAAGTCTAATAATGGATGTTGGTTTGAAGCCAAAGGGTAGTCACACCTAATACTGATTTGATTTACATTTTTCTTCTGTTCGCTCACTTTGAATTTTGTAAATTGATAAGAAAAAACAATTAAAATATACATTTTTTAAAGCATTCTTAGTTTACAGCATTTCTTCACCATTCCCCAAAACGTTAGCACAGTAATGTAATATATATATATATATATATATATATATATATATATATATATATATATATATAAAAAGAGTGCTTCAGTTAGTTAACAGCAGTAAGTAAAAACTTATATAAAGCTCAACTAAACCCAGAACCCAGACAATGTACTATTGTACTGCAGCCAGGCTGCATATATACAGTAGTGATACATCTCAACTTTTTTCATCTTTATGTAACTGATAAATACTCTGTGCAGCAAGAATCTGGAGAGTCAGACTGGGGTTTCTAACACAAAGCAGCATTCCAACTCTCCCATGGTCCAACAACCCCATTCCTCACTTCTCTTCAGAAAGCAGGGTAGTTGGACAGCTAAAGAGCTGGGCCATAGATTTGTGTGTGAGATGCAGTCCAACTTTCCAGATTACTGCAGTACCTATTGTTTAAAAACAAAAAACTGTAATATAGTAATAAAAAAAAACATGCATGTTTGTTCAATTTAGCTTTAATTATTATTCATTCAATTCACAGCTGGTTTTAATATTGTGTGTTTACATCTGCCTGAAGTTCAACTTTAATAAGTCATTTAGAAAGTGGTTAAACCAATCCAATTTTTTTCTGCTCTCAGAGTGAGAATTCCCTTAGTCACCCAGCTTCCGTACCTGGAAATGCTGTTCCATGACCTGGATTTTGCCTTGCTCTGGACATTTCCTCAATGCTTTGTCAGTGTACTGCAGCAAGATTTCAACAATCTGAAAGAAGAGAAAAAGCCAAAATTGTAGGTATTTTTGAGAAAACTGTACTATGGGTCATCATCCTTACCTAGGAACATGAACATAGCATGTACAAAATCATTCAAATCTGTCAATAATTTGAAAAATGCAATGATTTGTACATAACAAAGGATCAGACTGCAGGTTCACTGTAGCCAGTTCAATGAAGCTCTAATTTACATCACACTATTTAAAGCCGAACTCAAGGAAAACGAAAACACCTCTTGTGCAGTGGGGCTGCACCCGCACTGTAAAGGTTAGCTGCTCGTAAAGTCTAAGGCAGGGTTGCCATGGAACCCTGGGGTTCCCTCTAGAGGTTGCTAGGGGTTCCTTGAGTAATTAGCAGTTCTCACTGACACCATCGATCTTTTTAGCTATCTGTAAGGGGGTAAGTGTTTCAAATAACCACAAGTGTATGGAGTGCAGCCAAGCACCGATTAATCTTGTAGGAGGAGTTTCCATTCTCCTCTGACTGTCCTATGAGGCTGCATGACCCCTGACAGCTCTGATTGGTCCTGTGCCGATTACATGCAGCCCCCCCCCCCCCCAAAAAAAAAAAAAAAACACAAAATTATCTAGCAATACAAACCAAACAGAGCATGTGGTGCAGACTTGTCTCTGCTGCTCTAACGAAGGCAGACTGATTTTTACACAATGCAAGATTAACCCCTTAGGTTCCACAGTGAGTATAAAAAGCATGCTTTGCTGCAGATACAGACTGATTTTACTGTTGTGGGTTTAGTAACACTTTAAATAGTTTCCTTCCAATGCTAGAATCATAATTTAAAGATTTGTATATTGTGGTCATATCCCCTCTTAAGGAGTCTTTTCTGCAGGAAGAATAACTTTAAGGGTTGTAATCTTTCCTCATAACTGAGGTCCTCCAGGCTCCTATTAGTTTTGCTGCCCTTCTCTGGACTCTCTCCAGCTCAAACATATCCTTCCTGAGGATTAGTGACCATTACTGAATGGCATACTCAATAAGTGACTGAACCAGAGTTTTGTAACACTTTCATAAAAGGACAGGTTGTTTGTGAGATAGTCACCTTAGCTCACAGATAAAGCCTTATGAAACTTTATAGGCGTCTATCCCACATGGAAAGCTATTCCAGATAGAAAGGCAATAGCAAATTGTAATGGTAAAAAAATGCATAAGCTTTTGAAAAAAAATAATCATGATGATAAAGTTAGTTAACTGGGTCAGTGGACAATAATGACATTTCATAAAAGAGCACTAATGGGAAAATAGGACTGTGCTGACTCTTAAGGCAGAACATCCAGCACTGCAACAAACACATAGAATTTTGCAAATGATACATTTTAGTACTATTTTTCAGATTTTCATCTCTAGTGCTGCGTGCCTTTTTACCGATTCTTGTTGCAATTCCTTTATAGCATGCACTTTACCTTCATATATAAATTTACTTCTCAATACATACAGTCATAGTCAAAAAGATTGTCTCCCCTGCATTTCTGTCAGATGATGCACCACTTGGCCCAGAAAATTGTTGCAATTACAAATGTTTAGGCATTCTCATGTTTCTTTTGTTTGTATTGGTATGACACAAAAAAGAAGAGAAACAATATCAGAGTCATCACGAAATATGTAGTGGGTGTGTTTAGGAATATTGTACCTGCATAAGAAACGTTATGCAAAATAGAGTCCCAGACTACCGAACAAAATGGTGTGAGGTAGACTGGTTCACTATAGCAATGCCTGTGTGAAAAACTGACTGTTGTGCAGGTAGGCTAGCTAGATAGTTTCAAAGTGCACTTCTCCTTCCCACTCAAACCTTCACCACTGTTCTCAAGTAGTGGACCATCTGCAGATGGATACTTTCCTCAAAATTGTGCCTATGGCCTCTGGTGTTTGTTTACATTTTGCAGGCAGCAGTTCGGTGTGCTGGTTATGCCTGTACAATAGCTTCTCATAGGGCACTATAGGACCACCTCCCAAGGCAGGAAATGGCATTAGAGACTGAAATCCAATGTTTTCTTGCGAAATTCAATCCCACAACATATAGTGCTTATCATGGATTTAGATCAGCTAGAGCTGAATGTTATAGAATAATTTGTTTCATACTGTAGATCTATTTCTTTTACAGCCATTTTCTTTCTCATACAAATGATAGCAACACAGCTTCTTTCACCATGGGGGTGCTGAGATTTTACCCTGATGAATATGCAAGGCCATAACAAAGATGAAATGGCCCATAAGTATTTTAATCAACAGGGACATGTTCTTCTCATTGAACTGCATCACACATCGTTTGACCACAAAGTGTATTTTAAAACTTTCTCACAACCAGATCTGACCTACTTATGCAGACTCTGTAACCTGGATAAAACAGAGCTCCAGCGTCATTTACACCTAAACTAGTAGCATAGTATAACTCAATAGCATGTTTATTACTTACAGTTCTTAAACTCATACACATGTGGAAATATTAAATATGGACCTTTATTTGGCATATCATAGCTGAGAAGATCTGAAGTGGGAACAAAAAAGTTCTACTTCCATGAAAAGAAATGTTGTTTCTGGGGCTATTCTTGCTCAGCCATGAGAAAGTAACAATGGGTGTGGGCACTGAGACAGTATGACCTCAGCGGAACAGACACAGACACCAAAATGTAAGTATTTCATTTAGGATATCAAATAATATGCAGAATAAAAACCCCTTCTTCCCGGACAACTCAGTTCCAATCAGAGAAAGGCAGCCTGTAGGCAAGTAGTTTACCTATGCTCTTTCTATAGAAAACCAATCATTCTCTGTGAATTCAAAGTTGTGGGTGTATGCTTGAAAAAAATAAAATGTATGGTTATCAGAGAAATAAATCTAATATAGTTTTACTTTAAGTTTTACCATGGCAAGTGGAACCCACTAGTAATTGGTACCTGTGAAATTCAGATATATTTTATCTTCCTGAGACATATAAGAAACTGTAAGGTGATTTAGCTCTCCGGCATCAACTAAAAAGGGATGTATCTGATTTGGGTGGAAAGTTATTTAATGCCTCTGACTATATAGAAATGTAGTTTCCTGTCCAGCTTGCTTCCTGTTACAGAACCACAAGACCAATTCTTACCTTATCAGCCACAACACTCTTCCTTTTCTTGGGGTCCCCTGAAAGACCTGCAGAAAGAGTGGCACATGACAAACTGATAGTCTTATGCACTGTAGTGTATACTTTTACAGCACAACCACAAATCACAAAAATTGCTCTCAAATATCATTACATGGCGAGAAAATAAAACATCTGCTATAATCAGATTCATCTAACTTACCCACAACAGCTTTTGCCTTGCCTTCATGAAATGACCACGCTAAAGCCAAGGCTTCGTTGTAACAGTCTTGTTTCAGCAGATGATCAACTCTCTGTAATGAGAATAAAAACATAGTTTGGTGTGCTGCATTACAGGCAATATATGTGTAGCTGTTCATGTGACATATCTACTCAAAGTAACATTGCACAAGTAACAATACACATGATGTATACCAAGCCACAGAATGTGTACATCAATGGTCAAAAAAATTGTTTGTTAGAAAATGTTTGGGTGCAACAATGCTGGATTATCCATAGTATTAGCACAAATGATCAAAGCTATGCACTCGTCTCTCACGTCACAAGGGGGGATGTACTTATGGGCAGTTGATGTCTACTGCAGCCATGCCAGAACAGACAGCGCTAATGGGCCAGAATCACTGTGCCTATGGCAATTCTTATCAATGTCAATTGAAGGGATGTGAGACCAATGCTACATTGTGTAGGGCCTGCCTTAATCCAAAAAAAACTGTATTAAAGTTGAACTTCACCCAAATTTTTTACCCAAATGTGTGTCAATTCCTATACTATTTTTTTACACTGTCTGCTGTGGACATTAGCTTGGGTGTACTGTATGGAGAAGCAGTCTGTTCAAGAGTGCTCACCCTTCTTGATCGATACTGAGATCATATTAATCAACACTGACTGCTGCTAGAAGAGGCAAAATTTCATAAACTGTGGGCATTAATTTATAAATACTGAAGGAGATCTGAAAAAAGGCAGTCATATGAGGATTACAGGAACATCTTCCAGTTCCCCACAGCAAATAAAATCTTTTCGAAAAGCAAAGATGGATGAGATAGACCAAATGATGATGTCACTGGGTGTACAAACAGGAATATTTACAAACCAAGAGCTTTTAATTGAATGTGCACTGGGCTTGGGGGTGGGGGTGTATTGCATACACTGCACTTAAGAAAAACATGGAGGCTGCAATAGCTAATCTTTTCCTTTGAAAACTAGTGACCTAGAAAAAAAGTGCAGATAAAGACTTTTGAGTTTTCTCTAATTTTCTTGATCTGCATACTTTTTCTAGGTCAGTGAGTCAAAGTACTGAAGACAGTATGTTAGCATAATAGCCAGGAAAATAGTATATAAGTTATACACTAATGAAGTAAAGCAACAAGTTTCACTCTGTTGGTGTACAGATTGGTGCTAAAATATAATATAGAATTTGCTCGGACTCTGAATACAGTCATGTAAAAAAATACTTCACACACGAAACAGTGTTGGAAGAGCTGATATTACCTCAGCTTCTATGCAGTTTTTCCTTTCATGGAACACATGTACAAAAAAATGTACATATATAAAACACAGTATCTAACTATGCTGTACAGCCCAATGCTTCATTTAATGGCAAAACAGTATTCTTCTTTGGAATACTGAAATCAGCACCGCTCTCTATTCATCATCAAAACACGATGAATGAAGGGAGCCATGGTAACACCCCTCAAGGAAGTTGGTCCCATTGCACCCTGCACTTACAGTATCAGTTCTCAATCTTTTGGGTTGAATAATGCTGGGCATCATCGTGGCAAAGGGAAGTACTCCAAGGGACAGTTCCTGGCTGAAGGTACGTATTGCTGCTTTTTACTTTATACACTGTCTGGGGAACCAATTTATTAAGAAATGCTTGGAGTCAGGGTTTAAAGAAAGGCGGTCATAAGAAATATGGAGTCTGCCACTAATGATTTCTTTTTAAAAAGGCCAAGTGCCTGGCTGTCATGGAAAAAATTGATAGGGACTTCAGACTTTGCTGATCTGAATACTTTCTCTGAATTGGTGGCTCAGAAAGAAATGAAGTAGAATTCTCAGAAAGACATCTGCAATCTGCCTCAATACATTCTTCATAAAAGGTTTACTTAACATCAATTTAAAACAATCAGCATAAATTCACCTTACTAAAGAGCTGTATAAAAAAAACTGATAAAACACCTTAGGTTGCATTAAAAAAACTATCAAAGACTAAAATCAGAGCAATGTCTGCTATAAAAGTGTTGCTTTCAAACGTGCACTTTTCCAAAGAGCATATCATTTATAACACGAAGATATGTACTTTTACTGCAAAGATTTAGAAAATTTGCATGCTGTTCACAAAGCACAGAAATCGCCTGGTTTTCAGTTTGCATAGTTTTCTTAATGTGTGCCTTTATTTACATGATTTTTTAAAAGACAATAAAGATTCTAGGCAAACATTACATCAAAAGTTATTTTCGCGTTGGAGCTATATATTTGTATCTGTTCATAAAGTGGTCAACATAGTCAAACACTGCAATAATAAAAGGTATACTGAAAAATCTGACATTGTTTTGCAAACAGGAAACGTGTGAGATGGCAGCCTTCCTTACCTCTCGCCAGTTCCTGAGCATCATTGCATGTACTGACTGTGGGAGATAGAAAGTGAGACACAATCAGAGACAGCAGATCGAAAATAGGAAGTCAGAGATCTACTGAGAATACAAGTGATATGAACAGAAAAAAAAAGTGAGTGAGTGAGAGGGCGGAAGTGTCACGTCTTAAACAGCAAAGACAGCACAAAGAGTAAACACAGCTCAACCAATTGACTGTGCTACTAAGTACACACATTAACCTCTGCAGTGTCATCACCATAGATAATGAGACTGTATATTCCACACAAAAAAAAAAAAAAAAAAGTGAGCATAAAAATGATAGTCAGTCAGAGGGCTGTTTGCACTTTCATCTCCTGTCCTGCATTTTTATAGAATGACTCCAATACAGTACCTTAGTTCCGAGGTAGAATATCTGTCCTCCATAACTGCTGATTGACTGATAGCAAGCTTTTTCTCCTACTAGAGCCTGCAAACATTCAACAAAAAAATAGTTACTAATAATTATTCAGGATGAAAAAAAAGTGTCTATCAAGTTCAATCAAAAGACAAATAAATTAAAAACCTGAACACTGAGAACCCTAAACCTGCAGTTTAAAAGAGATTTTTGCCCTCCTTCGGATAACCTATGGTTTGTTTTGAAACATTCCTTTCTGTTCCCGTAAGGCAATTGGATGATCCCTGAATCAACATTCTACAGTTTTGTTTTGTTTTTAATAGCTAGATATATTGTGTGCATTTAGAAACACATCCAGGCTTTTTGAGCAATCTACATAATTGGCTAGTACTTGCATCTATAGAAGCCTATTCAACATTTCTACAGTTCTTACAGTAAATATGCCTTTAAATATTTAGAGGTTAAAACTCTTCCCTCTAGGCGTAACAACAAAAATGGTGCATATACACTGTATTGTCAAAATGATTGGGATGCCTACCTTTACAGGCACATGAATGTTAATGGCATCCCAGTCTTAGTCCGTAAGGTTCATCCCAAAAGTGTTCTATCCGTTTGAGGTCAGGACTCTGCCAGCCAGTCAAGTTACGCCACCCCAAACTCGCTCATCCATGTCTTTATGGACCTTTCTTTGTGCACTGGTACTGGTGTGCAATAATATTGGAACAGGAAGGGGACATCCACAAACTGTTCCCACAAAGTTGGGAGCATGAAATTGTCCAAAGAGTCTTGGAATGCTGATGCCTTACAAGTTTTCTTCACTGGAACTAAGGGGCCAAGCACAACCCCTGAAAAGCAACTCCACACCTTAATCCCCCTCCACCAAACTTTACACTTGGCACAATGCAGTCAGGCAAGTACCATTTTCCTGGCAACCGCCAAAATCCAGACACATCCATCAGATTGCCAGACAGAGGAGCATGATTGGTCACTCCAGAGAACATGTCTCCACTGCTCTAGAGTCCAGTGGCAGCATACTTTATACCACTGCATCCGACTCCTTGCATTGCAGTTGGTAATATAAGGCTCGGATGCAGCTGCTTGGCCATGGAAACTTATTCCATGAAGCTCTCTACACACTGTTGTTGTGCTAATCTGAATGCTAATCTGAAGTTTGGAGGTCTTTAGCTACTGACTCTGCAGACAGTTGGTGACTTCTGCACACTGTGCGCTTCAGCATGTGCTGACCCCACTCTGTCATTTTACATGGCCTACCACTTCAAGGCTGAGTTGCTGTTGTTTCCAGTTGCTTCCACTTTGTTATAATACCACTAACAGTTGGCTGTGGAATATTTAAGGAAATTTCACGGATGGACTTATTGCACAGGTGGCAACCTATCACGGTACCACGCTTGAATTCACTGAGCTCCTGAGAGTGACCCATTCTATCACAAATGTTTGTAGTAGCAGTCTGCATGCCTAGGTGCTTGATTTTATATACCTGTGGCCATGGAGGTGATTCGAACACCTGAATCCAATGATTTGGATGGGTGTCCCAATACTTTTGCATTCATATTTTGCTCTTGTTTTGCTGATGTTGTGATTGTGTTTTGTTTTCCAAACGTAAATCAGGTTAAAGACATTAGAAAGCGATTGGATGGGCAGGTACCTAGGTTGTCTCTTGGCCTAAGGGTCCATTAACATGCCTATTGTGCTTCACTAGCATCGACTTACCAAGGGGGGACAGTAGAAAAATATTTTTCCCAGAAGGTTTATCAACATTGGATAATTGTCTGAGGAGTATGGGAAAACTAAAGCAGCCCACATTTATAAGGTAACAGTTGCACAGTTTGACTTGACTGAGGTTCCTGTGCGATTCCCATGCAGTGCACAGTGGGAACCAAAGATAAAACTGGAACATGTCGAATCTGGTACAGCTGTGCATAGTAACCAATTGACAAAATAATTGAATAAGTTGAAGTTAGAAGCTGATTGGTTACTGTACACAGCTGCACCAGATTCTGTGTGCACTAGTTTTAGTAAATCTACCCTATATGTTTATGTTTGCATGTTCAACCCTGATTCTGTTATAGAAACTGAATTAAACTGTTCAAATACCACATCCATAAATAACAAATGTACAGTATATCAAGGAAACACAAAATGTAGGACTTTACTGGCATTAAAGGGGAGCCCACACATATTTGTATAAAAGTACACATTTTATTTATTACACCAGAACAACATTAAAATTTCTGTAATTGAATATAAAATTGCTCAATATAAATTCCAATGCTTCCTACTGCTGACTCACTCTACCACATAATAGCAGTACATATGTCAAAACATGGATAGTGTGGTATCTACAGCAATCATCGTGGTGGTGAGTCCTCATGGGTCCTGATTCTGCTATATTATTAATTTTTTTTATCTGACTCATCCTTGAATAATTAACTGAAGTCAGTTATCCCAATCCACTTCTTTCATTGTTAAGACATGGCTATAAACTTCTGCTGGAAAAGGCTTTAGCAGACTCTTGGGTCGCATGCTAGTTAAAGACTCCCTTTAGGAAGTTGCACAGATATGCAATGCCCTGTAAATAGCACATCTCATGGTTGAAGACCTTTTCAAGTAGAGGTTATCAGCCTTTATCCAGCTAGGTAGCCCTTCAAAGTAAACTACTGCTTTCCCACGCAGGGCAAAGCAACAGGTTTACTTTAATACTAGTCACGCTAGATGCAAAAACTTACTGAAACTTCTCTTTACTCCACCATTCTGTTTGGCAATGGAGAACAAAGGAGTGTTAGCCCTGTATAGGCTCCAAGTCAGGAGCTGGATTTTAAGAATGGCTGAAAACCCTCAACCTGCCCCATGTGATAGCACTGGCCCAAGCAATCAAACACAGCTCTTTAACAAGGGAGAAAGCAAAGTAAGCTCATTCCAACACCTACATGACAATTTCTTTGCTCCTAGTGGCTGAATGGTGAGGCAAGAGAGAAGGAAATGCAGTATGTGCTTATGGTGGGGCCACCAATAGAGCTTTTTAACAAAGGAATTGAAAATAGGAAGTTGGTTGCATTTTACTGTTTACAGATAGTTTATTAATTTCACTCAAGATTGTGAAAATAGGGAGTAGATAGAGTTGTACACACTGCAGCAACAGCATTGCCTTGCATTGTGGCAAGGCAAAATAACAGTGCCTATAGAGTTCAGCAGGTGTTGATACTTTGCAACCTCCTCACTTCAATTGAAAATGTGCACCAAGCATGTTGTAAATGCACTGTAAATGTGTCTATGCTGTTAACAGTGCACTTGAGGCATGGTTGCCAAACGTCAAAAGTGATAATTTCCCATCATAGTCTTGTAAAAAAATACAAATAAAAAAACGGAAACGTAATTCCATACAATGTATATCATTTCTTCTGCACAGCCATTCAAAGTCCAGTATGTACACAGCATTTCTGAGCTTCAAAAAGGAAGGGGAAGGGAGCAGAAATTACACTCTGAAGAGCTCAGTGAAAGCTGATTGGAGGGAAGGGACACACACCGCATCACACAGCACACAGGTACAGTGCTGAGGCTGTCAATCACAGGATGTGTGCTGTAGCTCCCTCCCATTACCTGTTTTTTTTTTCTGGTGTCAGAAAAAAACTTGTCAGAAGTGACTGCAGATAGCAGAGAAACGAGGCAGCAGAAATGACACTTGGGGGTTTATTTACTAAAGCTGGAAAGTGCAAAAATAGGCTCACTTCTGCACACAAACCAATCAGTTTCCAGGTTTTAGTGCCAAAGCTTAATTGAACAAGCTGAGTTTAGAAGATGACTGGTTTCTATGCAGAAGTGAGCCTGATTTTGTACTATCCAGCTTTAGCAAATAAACCCTTTTCTGCTGTGGATTAATACAAGTACGCACTATAGAGGGATATGCTTTTTCATATTTCATGTCAGGGGTTTACAACCACTTTAACAAATATATCACATATAACCCATGGTTTTAGAAACCTATAAAAAATAGCCATATATTTATTTAGAGGAATAGTTGTGTTGTTGAATTTCAATAATCAAAGCCAAGCCCAATTTCTAGGCAGAGCTCTGGAACAAATGATTGAGGCAATAGATTCAGCTACCGTATTTATGGGGGAGAGAAGGAGTTAGTCACTTAATTCCAGTAGTATGCTTCCCATTTGGTTAAATGATGAACTGTTGCCTATGTCCATCTACGCATAAAAATAAATGACGATGAAAGAAGAAAAGCTTGTATAAACAGTTTTGTACAGTGCAGGTGTGTCAATGGTTGTACAAGGCCAAATAGCATCATTACCATCTATTCTGTCAACCAATGCACAATTTAGGTGCAAATTCTTACAAGATAAGCAACTTATGTACAGGTTTAGGCTGTTCATCAAGCACACAGATACTCTCAATTCATCTGTGCTTAAAAAAAAATAAAGAATGCAGCTTTTCCTTGTTTAACCACTTCCAGTCAGGACACTTTACCCCCTTCCTGACCAGGGCAATTTTCAGCTTTCAGCGCCATCACAATTTGAATGACAATTGCGTGGTCATGCAACACTGTACCCATATGAATTTTTTAACATTTTTTTGAGACAGATAAAACTTTATTATGGTGGTAGTTATTCACCGCTGGGATTTTTATTTTTTTTTGCTATGTAAGTGAAAATGTCCAAAATTTTTTTAAAAAAGTGTTTTTCTTATAAAATTTTGCAAATAAATAATATTTCATCATAAATCCTGGCCAAAATGTATTCCGTTATCTTTTTAGTAAAAAAAAAAAAAAGCCAAATTAGTTTATAACCAAAAATTATAATTTTTAAACATTTTTTTTTACATTTTTTTTTTTTATATATTATTTTTTTTTTTTTACATACTGTTACCCTAGCAATACAGTGTCACCACGGGATGTAAAAGCAATCATTTCTCTTTCTCTCTGTCTGCATTCTTGCAGCCATTGAGAACTACTGAGTGAGCTGTGATTGGTCACAGCTTGTCACATGGTACAAGGCTGTTATGAATAGCCTTGTACCATGTGACCTCTGTGATCATTCACAGATTTCACACGTAGTAAGCAATGATGTCAGAAGTGACATCTTGCTTACTACTTTGGCCAATCAGTGATTACATGATCGGGACCTCGTACATAGGTCCCGTCCGACGATCGGTGTTTCACTGTGTCCAGAGGACACAGCAGGCACCGGATCGCGGTGCTGCGCGCTCCCGGGAGTGCACACAAGCAGGGTGCGGGGAGGCCGTTTATAAACGGCCACCCGACCCAGCAGTGCCACCGTCCGGCCGTTTATATACAACGGAAGTGGTTAGGTATTATGAAAGCTGTTTCCATGCAATTCTAACAAACATTGGGGGCTTTCAAAAACACTAGAATAAATTAGCCTACTGACTCTCGGAAAATGTCTTACCAATGCCTGGCTCACATTACCCCCGGTGGCCAAAGATTTGAAGTGGCTGCTGTTGTACACAAGCTGGAAATCAGAAATCTCAAGAGTCTCCAGCTCCTCCTGTGTCTGCCTGTCAATCACATGGAGTTTCTCAGCACTATCCAGAAGAGCCAGGGTGCGTGCATTAATCCACTGCAACACAGGACAGTAGTTTTACGCTTACAAAAATATCCATCCTAAGCAGACATATAAAATTACATAATTTGTTACATACTAAATGTTCACATATGGAACAATTAACATTTTTCAAAAAAAAAAGTGTGTGTAAAAAAAAAAAATAGGATTTTGGTACGGATTGTAAAATTCTTTACTTGGAGTCCTTTGCGGGACAGAGGAAATTTTCACCTTTGGGTTATACTGATACCTATAGAAGGATTGGACACTGACATGAAAAATAATTGTAGGGCAGCCCTGGATAGCCCTTCCCACTATCAGCAGTCCTCCGTTTTGTATCAAATCAATACTAAGAGCCTGATCAAAAACACAGGGGGGTGGAACCTGTGATCCACAATACACTCCATAAAAAAGGTTTTAATGGTGAATATATTTTCTCTCGTATCCAATGAAGGACACAGGAAGTTTTAAAAGTCTTCACCTTCAGGACATCCAAAAGCATGCCAACAGAGGGGAGGGCAACACAAGAAATGATTACTAACAGGCACAAAGTGAACAACAAGGTGAAAACACGGGAACTGTCTGCTACACAAGAACCACCTAAAGGAATATACAGCTGGTATATCTGGTAGCAAAAAATATGAGAACAAAGTGAGGTGGTAGCCTTGCACTGGAAAACTGACACCTGACGACAGAAGTATGTCTTGGCAGGGAAAGGAAAAAAGAAATCCTTAAGGCCAAGAGCTTGGAAACTGGTTTACCTAAACCATCCAGAATGGTGGAACCATGCACCGAATCACTGTACAGGGTCAGTCTGGGATGACCAAAAAGGCGGCAGTAGCTGAAATATCAAGACTCTCAAACTGAACTGTGGTCAAACAGGGAAAAAGGATATTCTCTTGCAAAATTGGACACAGACAATGGGAATAAAGAACGATTTCCTGGTTGAGAAAAAAATCTGAAATTGTCCTAGTCAACTCAACTCAACTGATCCCACAAGAGACCCAAAAAGAAATAGGGTTCCATGCATGGAAGACTCTCAGACCAGACACTCACCATGCAGAAGCAATGACTACCATACAATCAGAGAGATGTTGTCCAACAGAACATGCACTGTGTTCTCCACAGGAGGTCACCGAAGTATCCCACAATGGGGATGCCATGAGAATGCACTACGTAAGTCTCAGGCTGGGGCTATCACCCTAGAGAACACATAGGGTGCAGAAACAAAACTTTAAAATTCAAAGCATGAAAGGATGGGAACCTGTATATACAGACTGATCAGCCATATCTTTATGACCACCAGTTTAATGCCGCCAACCATAACAGTCCTGACCTATCAAGGGATGGACACCACTAGACCTCTGCAGGTATGCTGTAGTATCTGACATCCGGCCATCAGTGGCAGATCCTTTAAGTCCTGAAAGTTGCGAGGTGGGCCTCCATGGATCAGACTTTTTTTCCAGCACATCCCACAGATGCTCAATTGAATTGAGATATGGAGAATTTGGAGGCCAAGTCAACACCTCAAACTCGTTGCCGTGTTCCTCAAACCATTCTTGAACCGTTTTTGGAGTGAGGCAGAATGCATTATCCCACTGAAAGGGGCCACTGCCATTAGGAAATACTGTTTCCACTAAGGGATGTATTTGGTCAGTGATAATGTTTAGGTAGGTGGCACGTGTCAAGTAACATCTATTCTACACGAATAACAAGACCCAAGGTTTCCCAGTAGAACATTACCCAAAGCATCACACTGCCTCTGCTGGCTGGCCTTCTTCCCATACTGCATCCTGGTACCATCTCTTCCCCAGATAAGTGGTGCACACGCATCTGACCATCCACATTATATAAAAGAAAATGTGATTCAGCAGACCAGGCCACCTTCTTACATTGCTCCATGGTCCAGTTCTGATTCTCACATGTCCATTGTAGGTGCTTTTGGCTGTGACACAGGTTAGCATTGGCACCCTTACTGGTCTGCAGCTACTCAGTTCCATACACAACAAACTGCAATTTTTTTTCCTGATTATAAGACATTAACTTTAGGTCACCACATGCTTACTTGCTACCTAATGTATCCCACTGACTGACTACCGTAACAGGATTATCAATGTTATTTATGTAACCTGTCAGTGCTCTTAAAAGGTAGGGCTAAACAGTGTATATGTCCTAACTGAACACATTAGCCAGAAGCTCCCACTGGGGAAAAAAGGAATGGTAGATCTGGTGGATACCATGCACACTATTTTGGAGTTACAGGCCCAAAAAGAGGCAGATAAAAGGCAAAATTTCCAGTAAAGCTTCAGCCATTTACTCCACATGCTTTATCTGTTAAGGGTCCACTGCTACATTTGTAAAATCCTGTTTAGATTTTGACCATTCTGCCATGCTTTGACAAATTAAAATCTCATCCAGAATAGTGTAAAAGTTCTAAAGAGGGATTCAAGCCACTCCTCGGTAGGAACCTCAAAACGCAGGAATGCCTTCTATTACCCTAGTGTTCTCCCTGGTAGCCACTCATTGGCTCTACGGGGGGAAGAGCAGACCACTCTAGTAAGATTTTGTTTTACCAAGGACATGTTGGTTGTCTCCAATATCCATAGAGGAAGACCTCAAAGAGTGGGTGCAATGGGAAGGTCTTTGCAGCTTCAGGGGCTCTGAAAGACTCAAGACTTGAAATAGTAGGCAAATCCTTCAGTTTCAGAGTGCTGTGCACCACATCAAAATGAGTTAAATGCTCTTTTTTAATTCTGGAGTAATATGTGAAGACTGTGACTCCTTAAGGATAAACTCAACAGGTAGTGACTGAATTGCCTCAAAATCAGATATAGTCTTTGCAACTGATGACTCAGAAGAAGGCTTGTCTGAAAGTTTATCCATAAATACTGCAGGGGTAGCAATGAAGCACACTTAATGCCTTGGAGGTTAAAACCGGAAAGGAAATGGGTGAACTCGACCACATTGTTTTTCGTTACTGTAGTAGATGCCCTGGTTGACAAGGCAGGCAGAGCTAGGGAGCACCCCAATGATGAATTAGACAATGAGCATAGGATACCATGATTCCAAGTTACAGCAGTCAGCAGCTTGAGAAGGCATGGAGCAAACATCCCAAACTGTTAGTAGAGTGTAAGCTGGGGTCACCCATTACAGTGGTACCGTCCCCTCTGTGTTGCGACCACGTAACAGTATGGATAGGAGGCAAGGCATAAGATGCTCCAAAAAAAACAAACAAACAACCAAAAAAAAAAACAACAGGCAGCTATTAGCAGATAAGGATTGGATGACTTGAGGGTATCAAGGTCACTGTAGATAGGCAGCAGAAACTAACTGAATTTCAGAGTTCCATGTGGCTTTTTGGTAAGCAGGAGCAGCAGAGGGGGAAAGACAGCACAGGGTGTGTACATGCTTCACCCCAACCAATGTATGACATCAGAGTTCAGTCCCTCAGTGTTAAGCCTTTCTGTACCAAAAACTGTCAGGAAATGGGTAATTTTGTCTTCAGGAGACAGGGGATGCGCTGAGGCAATGTTAGCAGTGTGGCACTAACTCTTTTCTAGTTGCCAGGCTGATGACCACCATTCCAGATAGCTGCAGGTGGCTTTAGCAGTGATGTAGTGAAGAATCCTCAACAAAGGAAAAAACTCTTAGCATATTGACAGTTAAACGTTGTCTGCTACTGATAGGCAACTACAACAAAAAAAAGTCTATCCTCCTTGGACACTAGCAAAGGAAAAAAAAAAAAAGAAAAAGAGGAATTTTGGTAGTGGGAGGGATTATCCTGTGTTGGCCTGCAGAATTTTTTTGTTTATAAATGTACAATTGCCCTGTAGGAAACATTATAACACAAAGGTGAAGACTTCCTGCGTCCTTAAAGGATGAGAAAGAAAAAAAAATTAGCCACCATTACAAACCCATACACGTATGACAATTTAGTACTTACTGTGAAGTTGATAAGATCATAGTGTAAGTGAAGTTGCTTCTGCTTGTTTATATGAATTGCTCCAGACTCATCTCTCTTCACCTGCAGATAGCATTTGTATTAGTGAGCCGGTCTTTACCTGAGAACTCATTAAGGCAGTTTTACATGCTTTCATAGGCTAGTCTTAAAGAGCATTATGAGAGTAAATATGAACAAATCAATTTTATACATAAGATCATTTTAAAAGAGAAATCCAGTATGAAGCAATCTATATTTTATAATTACAAAAAACCTCCTGCACTCACAAGGACTCCTACCCTATAACCATAAGCTGATGACACTAAACTTATACCCAAAATAAGTGAATAAACAGTGCAAAAATTATGAGTGCAGCGCTAATTAGTATCTAATAGAACCGTAATACAATATATACTCAATCCCCAAAGTAAATCCAAGATACTCAATACATATACAGTGTCATGCATGTATTCCCTCGTGGGGAATATCTCGTGCAAAAACGTGAAAATAAAGTAATATATACTATAATAACATATATACTAATAATAAACAGTGTACCAATAAATAAATAATTTGCGCTAGTAAATGTGTATAAATATATAAATATATATAAAGAAATCATCAAATCATAAGTCCAGAAAAGAATATATATATGCAAATACCACAAAAAAATATATAAAAAAACTTTTAAGTGCAAAAACTTTTGTGCAAAAAAAGTGTCTAAATATGAAAAATTTCACCAAAAAACCTTGATAATATAATGGCAGATCATCCATAAATATATCTTCAGAAACGGAAACTCTGCAACACACCGATCCTCATCGATCGAAATAACAGGATGAAAAACTTTGTAGTTAATCGAAAATCCACTTCTCCAATAGATAAAGGACCACCTTCAAACGTATCCATGGGGGGAAATGCCAAGCACTCGAGAGAAACAGAAAGACTTCATGGTGCAATATTATAAAAACCAATTCCTTTATTAGGTACTCATTGCACTTACTCAAGAGGTGTCCTAGCCGACACCAGCATCAACAGCATAACAGCAATCACATAAACGAGCCTGGCTACTCAGCACATGCGCAGTAGCTGGCAGCCAAAAACGTAATGACGTCACACATCAAGCTCCGCCCTACGCGTTTCGTCATCGACGTCCTCACGGAGCGTCCTCCGCTCCGTGAGGACGTCGGTGACGAAATATTATCGGTTTTTTGGGCGGAGCTTGATTGATGTGGCACATTACGTTTTTGGACTTATGATTTGATGATTTCTTTATATATATTTATACACATTTACTAGCGCAAATTATTTATTTATTGGTACACTTTATATATGGTGATTTTTTGCAGCTGGTACACTATTAGTAAGTTATATAATTTTGACCATAGGCGCTATTATTAATTTTTCTTAATAATAAACAGTGCCACATAAAAAGTGCACAAAAGGAATAAACGATAGTTCAAATACGAGAAAAGTCCAAAGTTAATAATAATAATACTGATGATGCTGTGCTTAATGATGAACTTCACACTCCACTCTTCATGCAAAATTATGTGCAGTGTACGTGATTCACACGTGACAATCCTTAACAGCCAAAATGCCCCCTCACCTCCTTCCTTAGACCCCAAGTGGCCAGCACGCTTTCAGGATCACACGATCCTATCAGTATGGATCACTCTCTAGAAAATATCTTCCTCCTCCAGCGTCCACCAGTTTAGCAGCCAGCTCCTCCCAGGGTCATTGTAAGACACAAGCAGAGACCCTCCATAGTGCAACCAGTAATTTTATTGGTAATAGGTATAAAAAGTAGATTTCCACTCACAAAACGATGAATCTTCCAGCCTCCTACCACATGCTATGGGTGTACTGCATGGGTAATACACAGGGTGTTCCAATATGGCCCCCACGCCGGAAATGACGTCACCGCGATTACCGGAAGCTCCTCCCCACGTACCGACTAGTTGCGTCACGCCCACTTTGTGACTTCATCGTTTTGTGAGTGGAAATCTACTTTTTATACCTATTACCAATAAAATTACTGGTTGCACTATGGAGGGTCTCTGCTTGTGTCTTACTATGACCCTGGGAGGAGCTGGCTGCTAAACTGGTGGACGCTGGAGGAGGAAGATATTTTCTAGAGAGTGATCCATACTGATAGGATCGTGTGATCCTGAAAGCGTGCTGGCCACTTGGGGTCTAAGGAAGGAGGTGAGGAGGCATTTTGGCTGTTAAGGATTGTCACGTGTGAATCACGTACACTGCACATAATTTTGCATGAAGAGTGGAGTGTGAAGTTCATCATTAAGCACAGCATCATCAGTATTATTATTATTAACTTTGGACTTTTCTCGTATTTGAACTATATTTTATACTTCTTCCCTGTTTACTGTGCATCATTCTGCCCTTATTTTAACATTTAACTTCATCTTTTAAAAAAAGAGGTAAGAAGAGGAGTGCTACACCAGACTGTTGAAGTCCAGAACAAGTTTAATTCAATAACTGGACCTCAGCACACTGGTGTGGAAATCCTGTTTTTACCTCTTTCCTCAATATAAGTCTGAAGAGGCCCTGGAGAAGCTGCCAGTCTAGTGCCAAAATGCTGCACATTACCATTTCCTCAGCACCTGGTAGAAACACAAATTGCCTTGGAGATCCAATGCCACCCTCCCATTCTTTCTTTCCAGAATCTTTATCAGCAGTTATTTTGCAAATGATGAGAGGTAATTGGAAAAGGTTTGGGCTAAAGACTATGTTGATAAGGCGTCTTGTGTTTGATTTTTTTTTTTGATAAAAGAATACATATACAGCTCTAAAGAGTAAAAAAAAAAGCCTAATTACAGTTAACAAACTGTACATACCACATGCAGTACACTACTAATCTTCCTTGTCTAGTATGCCCTTACCAAGAGAAAATGCACCACATCCCCTCTGCAGAATGCCAGCATGGGGTTCAAAGCTCCCTGTAGAACCACAAAATGCCATGCTAAAAGTGGGACACTGGAAGGATCCATCTGTAAGAATATAAGAAATATTGTTAATATTGACCCTGTAAAATGTCCATATACAGTAAAAAGAGTGGTAAACGGACATCAGAAAAAGACATTTATTAATATTTGATTATTATTCATAATAAAAAGTCCCATTTAATAAATGGCTAAGATCTCTACAACATGCAAAAGAAAAAAAACATATTGCAATACATATTACATATATACATACATACATATTACGTAATAGATATATATTACATAGTAGTAGTCTGATAAGAAAATGTTGTGCATGTGATGATTTTAAGAGATTGTGATAAAGCAGGAGTCAAATAAAATTTCATCTTTCAAATGTATGTCCAGGCATTACCTAATTGTACCCCACAAATCCCCCTCCCCCCACTATAAAGTATGTCCTAGCTTTTTTTTTTCTACCATTACAGTTGTCAGAACCAAATCTTTCAAGAGTCCTTTCCCTGCACATAATGTGTGCGCAGGCTCTTGGGAGTAGGCAGAAGCACTGTTTTTCTTTTTAAGAAATCAATGTATGCACGTGGAGTGGCACAGGGATTAAACACAGAGAAATGTGTATTGCATAGATGTCCGGAATATATTGTATATATTGTTTTGCCCTTGCATATGCTTTAATTCAGGAGGACAATGAAGGTCAACCACAGCCATTTTCTCACTGTTGAGACAAAATAAGCCATTGTAGTTTCAGATCCAATATACACATCCTCCATGTATTTATTTTATACCACATACATTTTAAAGGGTTAACACCAATCAATTTTATGATGACATACAATGATCATGTCAAGGTAGGTTTACAGTAGCCATTGCCCAACCATACTGATTTGAATGGCAATGAGTACTCTGGGCACCAAAACTCAGGGTGAAAGAATCCAAGAAGCTTTTTGTAGTTCATGATTCAACCATGAAAACACAGTCAATATGTTTTGGGAGCAACAACTCTCCCCCTTCATGTTTGGTGCCTATTTGTGTGTGTATAACATTTGAGTCACTTTCTGGTACCTTTAGAGAGAAGTCTGTTTGCGTTGGGAACTGTCCCCATCCCCTCCCACCTCCCACCCCCCAAAGCCAGTGAGCTTGGAAAGAAAATCAATGTATGCATCAAATGATTGTTTGACTAAACAGAGAAATCTCTGAGCCCCTCAAATATTTCCTCCAAACTACTCAATAGGTTTGGGGTCAGGGAAGACCACTTACTCGTCCATAAGGAAAAGTCATCCAAACTTTCAGAGATGGCTTCAAGCCAATTACCAGTATCTGTAGGAGGAAAAAGACGACTCATTAACAATGTATTCAACTGCATGATCAACGCCATTTACAAAATAAAATGATTTTGTGCGCTTCTTCAGCAACCTTGTATGTAAAGATTTCCCAGTGTTGCTTTAGCTATGACATTAAAAAAATACCAATAAGCAGTCCTGTCAGTATTTTTTGCAACATTCAAATAGAAAATACATTCATCAAGGCAGATTAAACAAAACAAATTATGACAATTATATCATGCAAGCAACATTTTAGTCTGATTTATCTTTAACCACTAAAACAAAACCGTGTGCAGCCAATTTACTTTAAATGAAAGAACTCACAAAGACTGAGCACTGGCCTGAGAAAATAGGCTGTTTGGAGAGTATGGCTAGTGTTAGATTTTCAGTTTAGAAGGGTCAAGGTATATCTTTACCCAAAACTTTTTCATCTAGTTTCAGACAGAGTAGACAAGAGTAAATTGTTAGAACCCAACTCAGCCTTTTATTTCTTTGCTATCTGGGTCCCAATGCAGAGATTTCTATTCACTTACTGTCCTGGGAACATAAACGTAAGATGAAATATCTTCAAAGTGAGGAGAAATTTCTTCCTTAAGAGCTCTCACTGGAACACAGAAAAAGGACTACCAGGACTGGGCTCATTAAAAAGTACAGAGACCCAGGTTTGCTCTTTTGCCAACAGAGAGCATGATATACCTAAATTAATAAAGGGAAAGTAGTAAAAGACATACTGAGGCTGCATTTGCTGATCTCCTACTGAAAACATTAGTTTACTGACTGTCTGTGATAATTTGAGATAATAACCTGTAAAAAGCATGCAGATATGGAAAGTCAGAGTGAAGTCTGGGCTTCTGATCCATATACTTAATCCAAGGCAGTAGCTTAAAGATTATCTAAACTCAGTATTTCATATTCCTGATATGTGCCTGCTTTACCATGTACTTGTATGAAAAAGCATTCCGTTCTTTTTATATTGCTTCCTTTGTGTGAAATCGCTGGTGTCCCCGCTAGTCACTCTGCTTTCCTATTAAAAACTGACCATACTAAGTATGAGAGCACAGTGTGTCAGTTCTCTAGCTGTGCTGGGAATTCTGTGTGATCTCCTTCAATGATCAGACTTCTGCTCACATGTCCCCTTTGCACAGCCAATCACTAGGAAGTTGAGAGTGCTGTTGTTTCTCCTCCCCCCAGCTCCTTGTTCTCCACTGCATAAGGAGCATACAGGGTATGTGATCATGTATAAAGCTGGGGAGAGAAGGTATTTTTAATGTTTTCTTATATCTATACACAAATATTTTGCCTTTCATTTCTATTTAAATTGAATGGGTGCTTTACAAGGTGAGGATTTACATATACTTTGTACATATACTACATATACTGCTTGGTAACACAAATTGCTAATCAGCCAATCACATGGCAGCAACTCAATGTGTTTAGGCATCTAGATGTGGTGAAGACGACTTGCTAAAGTTCAAACTGAGCATCAGAATGGGGAAGAAAGGGGATTTAAGCGACTTTGAATGTGGCATGGTTGTTGGTGCCAGACGGGCTGGTCTGAGTATTTCAAAAACCACTGAGAATGGTCCAAAAAAGAGAAAATATCTAGTAAGCGGCAGTTGTGTGGACAAAAATGCCTTGTTGATGTCAGAGGAGAATGGGCATTTGATATCAGCTGCGACATTCATATGATAGGGTCGAAATTTGGCGTAAACAACATGAAAGCATGGATCCATCCTGTCTTGCATCAACATTCAGGCTGGTGTGGTGTAATGGTGTGGGTGATACTTTTTGGCACTAGCAAGGTGTGCCTAATAAAGTGCCCAGTGAGTGTATATTTATGTATCCTGTACACTGGAACTTTGTGCTCCAGTAAAGTCATCAAAGCAGCACTTCCCCCGCAGATACTTGATAATTAGGCCCAAAAAGCTCTGATGGTAGTGTGCTCCATTTGGTCGTAATTTGGATATATCAGTGTTCTTATACCTTAGTCAAGGATGCCATGGCCAATAAAGAGTACTGGGCAATAGGGTGATCTTTCAGTTCAGCTTTTGTGTGCAATGGCTCAATACAGCAAACTTCTCCCTTGGATCCACTGAACAGACATCTGGATTCACAGCTTCTCACTCCCATTACTCGCCTGTATCATAAAACAAGAGGTGATTTTCTTTTAATCAAACAACAACTGTACAAAGCCAACTAAGGCCAGATAAGCTAAACACCTAGTATAATAGATCATGCTATTTCAGAGGGACTTTATGTTATTTTTGTTTGAATATCTTTAGTTTTAATTTTAGACAGAAAAAAAATCTCAACTTTTACAGGAAAACTCACATTTCAATAAAACATGATACAAATTATAACATAATTGATTATTCATTTTGTAATTTTACATCCTTTCTTTATAATTTTCCACATCTGGCAGAAAAACATAATTATTATTACCTTGTCACCATATCCTGTTTGTAGAGAGATCTTCCCAAAATCCTCTCTTTGCCCCCTGCTAATGGAACATGTAGCTAGTGCAAGTAACTATAAATTATCTCAGTTAAGTGCCTTAATGAAGGTGCATCTTTGTTGGGTGAGACAAAGTAGCAAATATAATAACATTTGACCAACCTGAAGTGACTTGACAAAGCGCAACTGCGCGAAACATGTCGTCTTGGTAACCCTACCTACTCTCCCAGGTGAAGTCAACGCCGGACACTACCTTCGCTTGCCGTGATGACTCCACCCGGGATGCCGGTACGCTGACACTACATGATTTGAAGCCGACAGGAGCGTTCTCCGATCTCAGCTCCCTTCAGAGCGGACGGGCCGTCCGTTGGAGTCACACTGTTCACTTCAGGCTGGTCAAATTTTATTATATTTTGCTACTTTGTCTCACCCAACAAAGATGCACCTTCATTAAGGTGCTTGACTGAGAGCATTTTCCACAGCACTTATTCTTTTCAGTTCTCTTCATCATGCAAATAATTAACAAGGCAGCAGTGGTGAGCTCATGATTAACTGTTCACATGTTTCCACCTGGAGTGGCCTCTCTGCGCTCATTTGTATGAGTTTCCCTAACTATAAATTATATATCAGAATTACAGAGTTTACTAAAAAAAAAAAAAACACTAATCCCTCAGTCAGGTAATTCATAGGATAGCAATACTAAAAGTACATTGTATATTATGGCATTTATTTGACCAAACATACTTATTGATTGGGGATTTTCCCATATTTCTATAGAGCCCAAACCTAGTAGGGAGGACATTAAGGTAAAATACACAGCACAAGAAATCACATTACCTAGGAATTTAAAAAAGGCACAATGGAGTATCAACGATATTATGAAGACTTGCAGCACCCTTTTTTCCCAATCCCTTGACACACTGTATAGATCAGTACAGATCAGCTTTTATATTTTTCGTTTGGCCTACTGACATTCTGTTTCTTTAATCTGTTGAAAATAGATAATCAGTTTTGCAAGCTAATAGCCTTATTTCCTTGGCTTCTGGATTTATAATATAGTCCTTTGACAATGGTGGATGCTACGTCAACTACGCACTAAGAAAACATTTAAAAAAAACCTTAATAAATGTTAATTGTTCCTAAGCAAGCCCTTAAGCCCTACCATTGGTTTTGATATCCTACTGAAAAATAGCATTGCAGTTCCTGGTATGTGAGGGTGCTTAGGTACTCTGCCTACAGTCTCACAGAAGTATCTATGCAGTGCGAGATCCAAGGCACTGTCTGATGGCTAGTCTGATGGAATTTGAAGTAAGGCTGCTACCTGTTCTCTTTGCTGGAGACTCAAAAACCATGCCTCTACCAAGCTGACCACCTCCAACAAGAGAAACATTGCAGAACAAGGCATGGTAAGTAAGTAATGGGGAAAAAAAATAATCTACAATGAGGCCACAAGCAATACTAGTGACTAGCTACTGGCCCTATGCCTGCCCTTTTTTGGGGCACAGATTCCAGAGCTTAGTTCCTCTTTAATAATCAGAGAATTGGTAGGGATCATTTTTGGTAAATATCTCGTAAACAATATAGCAGACCTGTACGTTGTATTTACCAACTATAATATGTATAACACACATTAGTGCTCACTATAAGAAAAGAGGTAGTTTCCAACTACAAGATTTTTTTGTAATAAGAAATACATGGATATATGACGGTTATTTTTTATAATTCAGTGTAATGTGCCATAGTTGTTAGCCCAGGTATGTCCCTACAGCACCATCTAGTGGCAGTATGACTAAATTATCCCACAGTGTTTGCCTCTCATGCCACCTATACAAATGTTATGATGGCGAGTCACAGCTAAAACAGAACAAATATCAGATCCAGCCACAAACAGGGAGCCAAACTGGACAAATCAGAAGGCCTGTAAGTGCTGTCAGAAACCTCAAACATATACCTCACTCAGCCAACTGCCATTAAATTTTTACTGCATTACAAACATCACACTGTATGCATGTTTACAGCAAAGCATAGTATTTTAGTTTGATTCAGATAACAAGTATTCTACAGCAAATACAAAAATATATATGTGCAAAATTAAAAAACTGCTTCCCCATATAATATAATGTAGTTTCCCTCCTTGATTAGGTAGGTCTACACTGTGTGCACAATTATTAGCAAATTAGTATTTTGACCAAATCATAATTTTTATGCATATTGTCCAACTCCAAGCTGTATATACTTGAATGCTTATTTAAGCATATCAGGTGATGTGTATTTCTGCAATGAGAGAGGGTATGGCTTAAGAAGATCAACACCCTATATCAAGGTGTGCATAATTATAAGGAAGCTTCTTTTCCTCAGGCAAAAATGGGCCAAAAAAGAGATTTAACTGACTCTGAAAAGTAAAAAATTTGAAGTCTTTCAGAGGGATGCAGCACACTTGACATTGTTAAGACATTGGGGCATGACCACAGAATCATCAAATATTTTATTGCAAATAGTCAGCAGGGCCACAAGAAACGTGTTGAAGAAAAAAAGACGCAAATTAACTGCCAAAGATTTGAGAAGACTCAAATGTGAAGCTTCCAGGAACCCATTATCCTCCAGTGCTGTCATATTCCAGAAATGCATTCTACCTGGAGTACCCAGAAGTACAAAGTGTTCACTACTCAGAGACATGGCCAAGGTAAGGAATGCTGAAACCCGACCACCACTGAACAAGACACTTAAGTTGAAACGTCAAGACTGGGCCAAGAGATGTCTGAAGACAGATTTTTCAAAGATTTTATGGACTGATGAGATGAGAGTGATTCTTGATGGACAAGATGGATGGACCCATGGTTGGATCAGTAATGGGCAAAGAGCTCCACTTCGACTTAGACGTCAGCAAAGTGGAGGTGGGGTAATGGTATGGGCTGGTATTATTAAAGATGAACTAGTTGGACCTTTTCGTGTTGAAGATGGACTCAAAATCAATTCCGAAACCTACTGGCAGTTTTTAGAAGGCACTTTCTTCAAGCAGTTGTACAGGAAAAAGTCTGCACCTTTCAAGAAGACAATGATATTTATGCAGGACAATATTCCATCCGTCGCATGCATCAAAGCACTGCATGGCTAGCCAATAAAGGACTTAAAGATGAAATAGTAATGACATGGCCCCTTCCTCACTTGACCTAAACCCTATTGAGAACTTGTGGGTCCTTTTTTTTTTTTTTTTTTTTTTTTTTTTAATTTAAATATTTATTAAATTTTTCATGTTAATACAAAAACCCAAAAAGGGGAAAAATTCTCATACAAATAGACATTTATAACATTTCTACCTTTCCCTTACTAAAAAAATCTTTTCTTTCCCATCCCACTACCCCCCCTTTCCGCCCCTTATCCCCCCTCCTCCCCCTCTGCAGACTCTAGCCCATTCTACTCTCTTGAGGCTTATTAATTTTTTACTAACATCCTAGTTCATATTTTCCTATATTTTTCTTTCAATCCTGCTCTTTCCCACTTTTCCCATCTCCTAAAATAAACTCTCATCCTATCTTCCTGCATATGGTATGCTCTTTCCATTCTACCCATCTGGTTTACTCTGTTAATCCAGTCTTCCCTCCTTCGGTACCTCAGATTTCCGCCAAAACTTGGGTATCAACCCCTTCGCCGCATTCAAGAAGTACCATATACCTGAATCTTTATATTTATTTACAGATGTCTCCACATTGTGTAGGAGGCATGTCACTGGGTCTAACCCTATGTCAATTTCAGTTATATCTTCAATCAATTTGACTATTATCTTCCAAAAAGCCTGGATTTTCGGACATTCCCACCATATGTGAAACACCGTGCCTATCTCTCCACATCCTCTCCAACACAAATTTGAATTTTCCCCACTCATCTTGTGCTCTACACTCGGTGTAATGTGCCAACGTGTCACACACTTATAATTAACCTCAACCTCTCTCATACTAACATTATCGTGTATCAATCTAAACATCTTTCTCTGTCTATCCTCATCAATCCCAACTCCCATATCTCTTTCCCATTTTGTTATAAAGATTAACTTTGTGTTTGTGTCTAATTCTGTGAGTATTCTATACACTTTTGAAATACTGTGCTTCCCATCCCTTTGTGTCTCTAACAACCTTTCAAACATATTCCACTCCTGTTTTGATCTCAGGGGTTTCGGTAGATTTCCAATAAAACATTTCAATTGATGATATTTCCACTCATCTATTCTAATAAAAATATCTCCCTTCTTCTCTATTAAATCTTTAAGTGATCTCAATTCCCCCTCCACCAAAACATCTCTCAGTTGGGTATCCTCCTTTCTAAACCATCTCCCTGATATCTTATTCTTTCCCGGGGGAAAGTACTCAGTGTTTGTGAGAGGCATTAATATAGAATTAAAATCCCATTTCATGTTTTTGTGTAAATTATCCCATACCCTAAAGACATTTAAAGTGTAGATACTTGTGCTTTCTTTAATTCCCCTGAACTGTGGTGGAACCCATATAATCTGACTCAATCTAATGCCACTAAGATCATTTTCAATTGTTACCCAGCTTTTCCCCTTATGGTTAAATGTCCAGTCATATATTCTTGCTAAAACCACTGCTTTACAATATCTCTTGACATCTGGTAGACCCAATCCCCCTTTCTCTTTAGTCCTACTCAATGTTACATATGCTATTCTAG